AACTTAAAATCTCAGTTGTCCTAGTTTTTCATTTCTATTTATTTTGATATCTATTTTTTCTTTTTGAGAATTTCATACATGATTCCTGTTGTATAGACATGCATGTATTTTTAAATTTTGTCTTTTACTACCAGGTAAATGTTAGGTAAATAGTCATTAAAGACAAACCTCTAAATATCTGGTGTACAAAGACTGTGTCACTGATATGTAACGATAATAACTATGTGTAATTTAAAGCCTGTTAATTTAATTATAACATTGCATAGATTGTGGATATGAGCAAACTCCCTGTGAATGGAAATCTTCCAGACTTAGGAAATGTAGCACAAACTCCTTTCTAAATTTTATTCTTGTAGTCTATAGCTGAGTAATAGGAATGCAACCAAGATTAAAGTGTCAAAAAGCAGCTAAAAACAGAATGCATTTCCTCTGTGTCTCATTCTTTTGTGGCTAGAAGTTGTAATATCTTAAAGCTACATTGTTGATGTAGCTTCATTGTGAAATCAAAACTCTTTTGTTTCACACTAATGAAGAAGAAAAATGCAATAATAATTATTTCTAAATCTTGCTCATTTCTGATCTGTATTTTGGTTATTTGTCACCTTGCAGCTGATGGGAAAGTTAATATAAAACCTTTGATGAATGAAGTTAAAGTTTTCACAGGTTAGTGATGAATTCCTGCCACACTAAAGCCTTCAGACCGTTACAATAGTTAGTGTTTTTCTCTCGTTTTTCCACTGTCCTGAAATTAGAAAAACTTTTAATAGTTTTCCAATAGAAAAAACTTCTTAGAGTGCATAAATTTGGCAAAATATGGCAAAAAAGTACAAAAAAATCCACCTTTAGGATTGTATCTTAAGGAGAAACCCTGCATTCTGTAGAAGCTGTTCTCCTACTTTCTCTCAGAAATGCACAGGCTCAATACATGGCACTCTGAATTTTTATGATTTCATTAACACTGCTGACAATCACAACATTAACAAAAGGAAATTCTTCCTTAGAGGATTATATATATTAGCCAGCCTGTGTATATGACCACTAAAAAGACATTTAGCATTCCAATTTTCTCCATTCCCGGGCCCTGTGGAAGGATGGTGTTATGCTTCTGTTATTCAACCTAAAATTTGAGGTAGTTAATATATCCACCTCTCACTATTCCTACTTTTTAGGTGAAAAGGCTGATATCAATAATCTGAAAAATATGCTGAGAAAAGCGGGGATTGAGTTTAATGATCTGGAGTATATGAAGCTAGTGAAAACCTTGCCAGTGGACGGTAAGCCTTAAAAAGCCTCGGAAGTTTCAGGACCACAATTTAATAAGCCAGAGAGGGACATTAAAAACTTTAGAATCAGTGCTTGAAAGTCTTGGGAAGTTTAAAGCCTCTCACTCCAAACTGAAGTAAATGGCTTGTAAAAATGATGAGGCAGAGACTGAGGTGACAGCCTATGCTGAAAAATTAGTTCTACACTGCTGTCGGGGACAGCAAGGGAGCGATTGATGTTGTTTGAGTGAGTCTGTGTAGTGTCTGCGTGTGCACTAAGACTGACACAGGTTTGGATGGGTAGCAAAACAAATCCAGTAAGATTAAAAGAATCATGAGAATCCTTCATACTCTATTTCCCAGTTTCTGTAATTCTGTAAATGCATCAGAATAAAAAGTTAAAATAAATCCTGGCACCACACAGTTACTTGGTCTGTGGGTCACTGAACTCCTCCGGGATCACCTGTCATGTTTTACTCTAATCAAGGCACAATCCACAGTACCCATCAAAGGCTCAGGAACTATTGCTTGTAAACACATAACACAATAAGTGAACTGTTTCAGTTCTCAATCCCCACCACCACCAGCAGCAGCAGCTTTACAATTTACATTTTCTAAGGGCTAAGTAGCTCTGTGGTAGAGTGCTTGCCTTGCTTGTATGAGCCATAGGTTCAAGTCCCACACTGCCAGGGGGGAAAAAAAGCCACTATTTTTTTCCTGGAACTTCAACCTGTTCATGTATAGAACCTGGAAGATATTTTCACATAATTTGAAAAATATGCAGTCTACCAATAGCCATTTTTCAGTCACCTTTGTCTTCTTGTTCATTTAGCTTACTGGTGTTGTTGTTTACATTTATTTTCCTCCAAAAAGAAAAAGACTCTTAAACTTGCCATTTTTTGTCTTTTGTTTAGTGCTTTTCTTTCCTGTCTCAAACTTCTGTTGACACCTTTCTTTCTTTTTATTTTGAGGACTCTTTAAACGCCCTGTTCTTGAGCATGAGTGATTGGGTCTGTTCTCGTCCTTTGTTTTAGCATTCTGTTCCCCTCTCACCAGTTTCCCACGTGATGTAAAAAGCCCTTCATCATCTTTCTTCTCCCCCACACAGATAATGGGAAGGTGTATTGGACTAGAGTACTGAAGGGTGTGAAATCTCTCAAAGGTGAGCTCAAACTCGTCCTAATGTATCTGTCTGAAATCTTCTGGCTTTGCAAAGTATTTTTGTTGCTGTTTCTCTCCTCTTTGAAGGTAACATCACACTTGGAGTCTTCCTCATTTTATTACCCCCCCCCCCAAAAAAAAGAAAAACTTCGTCATCTAAATATGCATAGTAAAATTGTAGTGAAAGGGTGCAGTCACTCTGCCACTTTGGGGATGTTGTTCATTAATCTGGGGATCTGGCAAAGGAATGAGTACTTTTTACTCTTGACTAGAAGTATTGGCAGCCAAGTAGCAGTGAATGGACCGTTAAGCCCAGCAGTCTTCCAAAGAACTTCCTTGTCCTAACAGGTCTGTCACCAGGATAGAGTTTTTAAAAAACCAGGTTGCATTTGCCTCATCACTCTTGACCTTCTCTGTTTTATTGGAAAAGTCGAGTGTAAATTATAGGGGCTTTCGTAGTGAACACTAGTGGCAATACAAAAATGCAAAGTATAGGGTTTTTTTTTAATATTCTTTTCCTAAAGTAGTTACACAGTCATTAAAAACACAAACATGATCATCATATTGTGCATCTTTCATTTACTCTCTTGTTCCTCCCTCTCCCTCTCTCCCTCTCTGCTTTTTCTTAAGGAGGGAGAGTTGATGTCAAGGGCCTGAACTCTTTCCTGCAAAGCATGGGTGTCAGACTTGTTGAAAATGAACTAGAACAGCTGAGGAAAAGCCTGCCCATGGATGGTATGCCTGCTACACAGCACTGTGTGTCCCTGAGGGAGTTTGGGGTGTTTGTTTGTTTGTTCATTAATCTTACAGCTAAGAATTTTAACTACTAGATTTAGTTAGTGTTAAGATAAATATTCAAAATATTAGGGAACCCTAACATTACAAATAATATTTTAAGTACCAGCTATAAAATTTCTAACTACTTCAGTGAGAAAATTATGTGAGGTCATTTTGGCAAAGAAACATCATTACCCATAGCTTCCAGTTTTATATCTGTGTGCTTTTTGAAACCTAGGAAACAAACCGGAAGACATCTATTAAAATCGCTGAGTTTTAGACATGGTGTTTTGGTTCATAGGCTTTTGTGGAAGATTAAAAATGAAAAATTCAAGTGATTTGCCTAGCTAGAAATAATCCAGTGGAAATAGGAATAGGAAATACTCAATTTAAAGCAACAGAACATATACATAAAATATCTAGAAATAAATTTGACATTTTAAACCCTTCCTATGTCAACTAGAGATTTTACCCACTGTTAAGCTATTTGTTTTTTCATTTCCAAAAGTCAAATAGAAATCTAAGAAGTCCAGGGCTGCTTTTTAGGTCCTTTCTTCCCATATCTGGTTCTATGAAGGCCACAGGCTTACTTCCAACAGCTTCTGCATTTAAAATAGTGAAACAAACAGAAAACAATTAACAAAATATAAGAAAACTCCTTACCTATTAATAACTACATTGAATGTTAACAGATTAAATCCCACCACCAAAAAAAAATATATGAATAGATAAAGAAATAAAACCCAACCATTTGATTCGATTCAGTTTAAGGACAGAGACCAAAAAAAAAAGTGAAAGAACTGGAGGTGAGCAGGATTTCATGCAAAGGGGAAGCCATGTCAGAAAACAGACATTACCAAAAATAAGCAAAATAAAACTTCTTCAAAATGAGCATTAAAAACCCGAGATCTGTGAGATGCATCAAAAACAGTTCTAAAGGGGAAATTTAGAATAAAGGGTTGACATCCACAGAGATCTCAAATAAACAGCCTAATGGTATGCCTTAAGACACTAGAAAAGGAAAAACATAGTAAAGCCAAGCACAGCAGAAGGTAAGAAATAGTAAAAGTAGAAGTAGAAATAAAGACTAGGAAAACTATAGAAAAAATCAACCAAACTTGTTTTTTCTTTGAGTATAAATGAAATCAACAAACCTTTAGCTAGCTAGACTAATTAAAAAAAAATTGAGAATATGCACAGGAAACCAGAAATTAAAGAGAAGACATTACAAGTGAGGTCACAGATGTGCAAAAGCTTATAAGAGACTATGTGAATAATGATTCACCAACCAATTGGATAGCCTAGAAGAAATGATAAGTTTCTAGACAGTCTAATCTACCAACTCTGAATCACTAAGAAATAGAAAATCTGATCAGACCAAAAAGAGTAAGGAGATCAAATATATCGGTCCACTTGTCACTACTACATCATAGTACTTAAGGCTGATTAATGTGTAATGAAGGAGATTTATTTACCTCTTGGGTTGCATGTGAGACATTAAAGAACATCTATTAATCCCAGATAGGGAGCCAACAATAGAACAAAGTAATTTCAATTTACAGGTAGGGAGACTTAGTACTACTATAGTATCCATATTACATAAAGCAATCCACATTCGATGTAATAAATTTCAGTAATTCACAAAGATATAAAAGCAATCCTAGAATTCATATGGAAGAACAAAAACCTTGGAGACCCAAGGCCATCTTTACTAAGACATCCCACTACCCACTGTATATACTTTGCATATGATTTCTGAGCTTAACACGTTAATTTCATGTCTCCTTTGACTCATTCATAGCTAATGGAAAAGTTGACCTAATTAAGGTGATGGATGGAGCAAAAACCATTACAGGTGAGAGTTAATGTAAATATAGGATTTTTTACAGTAATATATTTGTAATTTTTAAAGTATTTGTGTGTGTGTGTGTGTGTGTGTGTGTGTGTGTGTGTGTATGTATGTTTGACTGTCTGTGAGTATATGCCACATGTATGCAGGTGCCCGTAAAGGTCAGAAGAAGATACTGGATCCCTGGAACTGAAGTTACAGGCATTTATGAGCCCAATTCAGGTCTTTTAGAAGAGCAGCAAGTGCTTTTAACCACCGAAATCTCTCTCCAGCCCCAACATGTCTTGTATACCTTTATTGCTATATTAATTCTATGATTTGTGACACCTACTTGTTTAATTATTTTTCCATCCAATGACCAGAAATTGCAATGTTTTCTAGTGTGTTTTGTGTTTGGTTGGTTTTGTCTGTTTGTTTCTGTTTTTGTTTTTGTTTTCTAGACAGGGTTTTGCTGTGTAACAGCCCTGCCTATCCTGGAACTACTTTGTAGACCAGGCTGGCCTTGAACTCACAGATATCCACCTGCCTCTACCTCCTGATTGCTGGGAATAAAGGCATGCACCACTATGGCTAGCTTTAGTATGTTTTCTAATAATACGTTTTTGTTTCCTTACTATATAATACAGCCACATTCAACAATGAAATGAAATTAATCTTTTTTTAAAGACTGTAGTACACATTGATAGACCTAGGATAAACCATTTGTAGCCTTATAGTGACTAGAGAGATACACAATACCTGCTCATCAATATCATTATGAGTACCATCTCCATGCACATTCTTCACAAACCATACACCAACATGGGAAGGAAAAATGAAGAGGCATCTGGTCAAGGCTAGAAGCTTCTATCAGAATTCTTAGATTGCTCTTTGGCCACACTGCTTTTGAACTTACCCAACTGATGTTACTTGATGTCAGAAGCTAAGCAGGGTCAGCTTCTGGTTATAGCTGGATAGGAGAATTCTTAACTGATAGCCACCTACCCAGTCCTTAGAAGGACCAGCAGGAATTTCTAAACATCCCACAGAAAAGTCAGCCACTGCTGTAGAAATAGGTTTTCCTTTATATCTTTTTTAACTCAGTCATTGATCTCAAGAAGCCTAAGGGAAACGAAGCTGACCCAAGGGAATTTCAAAGCAGTAGCTTTGTTTACATTCTCAGTATTTCCTACTGCCCTGTTCTCACTACCAGAACTGACAGTAACCTCTCATCTCTTGATGTTCTCTACAAACAAATCATGTTCCTTTGAATAATCTTTTTGGATACTCAGTGGCCATGGCTCCCCCCAACCTGTAATTGCATTATGTGGTTTAATTATTCACAATTGTGTTAAATTCCATGTATGTCACTATTTTAATCTTTATTATTAAGGAGAAAAAATTGGTATTGATGATGTAAAAACTGTTCTGGAAAACATGGGACTAGAGTACAAAGATCAAGAATTCTCCAAACTGATGGAAACTCTGCAATTTGATGGTAAGCATCTCAACTATTGATGTAATGAAAAGGCTGTAGAATTTCTCTGTGATGAAGCTATTTGCATTTCATAACACTATATTAAGTGGAAACTAAAAAGTTAGATTGTCCCTGACCCCTGACATCAATTCTCTCTCTATGGGCTCCTATTTTAGACCTCATGTCCCTTTTCATTATGCTGCCTATACCGAAGAGTGTATTATGTATGTATGTATGTATGTATGTATGTATATAATATAGGATTTGTATAAATAGAAAGGGATAGCTTAGGAGTGAGCAAATACAGGATTGGGGAAGAATAAGAGAAGTGTGTGTATTATGTAGAGCCTGATGTACTAAATTTCCCCACTTTCTCTCACAATTTTGTTCATTTATTTATTGTGTGTGTGCCTGTGTATATGTGCATACCTGCATGTATATATTATGGACATGTAGGGGGTGTGCCCATGTCACAGTACATGTGTGGAAGTCAGGGGACAACTTGTAAGAGTAGGCTTTCCCTTTCCACCATGTGAATCCAGGGGATTGAACTGGAGTCCTAAGGCTTGACAGCAAACACCTTTACCCACTGAGCCATCCCACTGACTCTCACATATTTTTTATAAGAAGAAAAATAAGTAGTGAGGGTCCTAAGAGTCAGTTTTCCTGAGCAAATACTAATGATCACCCACATTTCTGTAACCTGAATCCTGTGTTTCTTACAGATGACAGAATGATCTTTCAAAACAGGCTACTGGACAAAGTGAAGTCCCTGAAAGGTGAGTGACATGATCTCACATCTACAGTTCTGAAAACATCCTTGCATGCCACCAAAGCTCACATATGCCTATATGTGATCTGTGCTCTGTCTATGTGACAGCCTTTGCTGCAGTTGTCAAGCCTCTCTCATCTTAGACCTAAGGGGAAAGCTCCCCATTTTGAACAGAAGAAATAGAATAGGATCTCACATTTGTAGAGAAAAAGGATAACTTGGAAACTGTTTTAGTCACTCCAGGGGTTTAATTAGGAGAAAATAAAAGCTAGACTTGAAGTTCAGCCCATCTTAAATCAACCCCAGATATTGTCCAGAAGCAAGGAATGGTTATCTCCAGAATTAGAGTTTCTTCTCTATTTATTTTAGTTTAAAATGAAATTCTACATATGTTGTAGAATATTAGTATAAGATGTGTTACATTTGTTTATACTGTGGAATACTTGTTTAATGATACAAAGATGTGTTGTATTCTTTTATGTTGCATTTGTTTAACTGTGTGAGCTGTGTCACTTTGCCCACATAGAACACTTGATAGGTCTAGTAAAGAGTCTGAACGACCAATTCAGTCATTTACACTTTAAAGCATCATGTTATTTATGATAAACATGTATGTAGTTGGTTGTTTTTACTCGTTGGAGGCCCACCACCCAGCTCCCAAATAAATACATGGAGACTTATTCTTATGAATGCCCAGCCTTAGCTTGGCTTGTTTCTAGTCAGCTTTTCTAACTTAAATGATCAGTTTTTCTTTAACTATGTTTTGCCTCTGAGCTTTTTACCTTTATTTATTTTTCCTTTCTTTTTGTCTTTCTTTCTTTCTTACTCTGTGGCTGGCCGTGTGGCTGTGTGGCTGTGTGGCTGGCTGTGTGGCTGGCTGTGTGGCTGTGTGGCTGGCTGTGTGGCTGTGTGGCTGGCTGTGTGGCTGTGTGGCTGGCTGTGTGGCTGTGTGGCTGTGTGGCTGGCTGTGTGGCTGGCTGTGTGGCTGTGTGGCTGGCTGTGTGGCTGGCTGTGTGGCTGTGTGGCTGGCTGTGTGGCTGTGTGGCTGTGTGGCTGGCCTGTGGTGTCCTCCATTTCTCATTCCTCACTCTTCTTGTGCTAGATTTCTCCTATTTATTCTTTCGCCTGGCAGCCCTGCCTATCCTTCTCCTGCCTAGCTCTTTGGCTGAGTGTCATAATATACTATGTCACATGGAATCGTGTTGTGATGTTAACAGCCACAGTCCTGGTTTCATGTCTGTTGCTATGATGAAATGCCCTAACCGAAATCAGCTTTGGGGAGGAGTTTACTGCCTTACAGCCCCAAGCCACACTTCATCTTTGAATTTTGCACTTTCACTATTGAAACCTTGAGAATGTTTATGAGTAGAATCTGACATTTTAAAATAATGTTAATATAAATAAAATCAGGTTTTTCATATTTTACACAGTATTAGTAGATAACTGAAAAGAGCCGGTGACTAGGCGTTGGAGAATGCAGGACCCCTTCCTAAAAGAACTGATGTGCAGTGTTTCTGAGAACTGACACTTGTGAGTTTGCAGCAGGCCGTATAGCTCTGAAAGCTCTAAGAAACCACCCTGGGAGCTATGTGCTTTTCTTCATGGGTTTCTCGCTCTTCTCAGGTGGGAAGGTTGGTATCAGCAAACTGAAAACTCTGGTGGATAACTTGGGGTTCAGGCTCAAAGACAACGAATTTAAGGACCTGACACAGAATCTCCCTACTGGTGGTGAGTGTGATTTCCAGGGGTCCTACTTATACTGGGAGAAACACCTTTACTAATAAAAGCCCTAGCTTTAGGAATGGCAGTCTAATATGAAAGTTACACATATGGGCTAAGCATATAAGCAACCAGTTACCAAGATCAATGTTGAAGCCTTGTGTTTGAAAGAGTATCTTTCATATCATGAAAGTGGTGAGGCTGGATAAAATAATAGCAGAAAGTGTTTCCTGCATATTCCTTTTCTTTAAAAAAATATTATTTTATGTTATGGTTGTTTTGCCTGCATATATGTCTGTGCACCACATGCATGCAGTACTAATAGAAGCCAGAAGAGGGCGGTGGATCTCCTGGAATAGGAATAACAATTGAACCTGGGTACTCTGGGAGAATGACAAGGACTCCTAAGCACTGAATCATTTCCTCAACCCCAACCAGCATATTTCTTAAATAAATGTATAAAATACTTAGGTTTGGGCTTTTGCAACAATAAGTGATGGTTTCTCATCTCTGTTCTCATGCTTTTTTCCAGTTCTTAGGAGGGTTTCTCTAGATACACTGATGAAAAAGTTGAAAGGTTTTACAGGTGGGTAAAGCGCTGTAATTCTCATAGTGTAAATGTTTACATTAAGTTTAATTACATTAACGGTAACTGAAAGTAATGAACATCATTAAGGGATTCTAATCAGTAACACCTCATTTTTCTGTGTCATTTCCAGAGTCCTATAAAACTAAAATGTTTCATAATGACATATGCACATCTGATACCCTTCAGACTAACTTAAGATGATGAGACGTTTCGAACTGTCAGTTTGAAATAATGTACCGCATTTCACAAATACTTAAAACAATCTAAAACCTCATAGAGCCTTAGGGATAATGAATATACCATTTCTACTGAAAGCATATAATAATCCTTGCACACAAATATTTCTGAAGAGTAACTCATATAAGAATCAGTGTTTCAGCCAGGCAATGGTGGCGCACACCTTTAATCCCAGCACTCTGAAGGCAGAGGCAGGCAGATCTCTGTGACTTCAAGGCCAGCCTCGTCTACAGAGTGAGTTCCAGGACAGGCTCCAAAGCCTGTCTTAGGAGAAAAAAAAATCAGTGTTTTAGTAATTCACTGATCAAAAATTATTCTAGAAGTTCTCTTTCCTCCTTTTGGTAAGAAAAAAAATCACTCCTTAATTTATGTAAAGCCAATAAATACCACAACCATTAACACTGCAATCGATTCTTCAACTTAACTGACACCACACAAAGTAAAACTTATAACTCAAAATAAAATCCCACATTATTCAAAGTCCATGAGCCTGGGACACTGTGTTCACAGTCCATGAGCCTGGGACTTCTTCTTTTGAAAGGAGACAAGGTTGACTCCAGTGACCTGAGAAACATCTTAAAGAACCTGGGGATTGAACTCACAGAGAAGGAACAAGAAAGATTGCTGAAAAGCCTGCCCACTGATGGTGAGCCGGGGAGACCCGTGGGGCTTCCAGGAGTCTTTGGGGGTTTGTGGAGGTTTTTGTTTTGTCTTTAGATCTATGTAAAACTTTCTAACTCTACTGCTGCTTATTTTCCTCTAAAAGTACAAAAAAGAAGAGAGAGGGGAGGGAGGGAGGAAGGGAGAGAAGAATGGAAGGAAGGAAGAGAGGAAGGGAGGGAGGGTAGTGAATTGTTAGAGAATAATTTTGCCCTTTGTCCTTGATACTTTATATTGAAAGTGCCAGAAACCTGGAGACAAAAGTTGACATCAACCATAAAGCATGTCATCTTTAGGCCACTAATTCCCCCTCACAAAATGAGGGAAAAGAAGAAGAGGAAAGTATCCTATCTGTGGCAAAAAGTAAAGATCAGAGGCAACATTAGCATGTGGAGTCCCTCTGGCACTAAAGTGGAGAGCTTTGTCACAGTGAAGAAGGTTTCTATGCCACACTTCACTGTCTTAAATTAGACATTATCCTAAGTAGAGACAGTTCTTTTAATTTTGTTTTAATTTTATGATTATTGTGTGCATGATACATGTGTGTTAGATCATATGCCTTGGATGCATATGGAAGCCAAACATGATCTTGTGAAGTCAGTTCTCTCCTATCACCTGGACATAGGTGCTGAGTTGGAACTTGTCATCAGGCTTGTAGAGCAAATGCCTTCACTCTCTGAGCCATCTCACCGGCCCGAGATAGCTCTTTTTAAAATATCAATTATTAAATAATTTTATTATGCTATTTTTGTGATATCAAGTCAGTTTCCTATTAAATGAACTATGGTTTTTCCTTAGAAGCTGGGAAGGTATATTACAATAGGCTGTTGAAAGGTGTGAAAACTTTCAATGGTAAGTAACTCAATTAAAAGGCATTTGCCATTCACTGTATCATCAATTGTGAATCCTTGCTTTGCTATAACTCCTTGTTTCCAATTCTTCATATCTATCTACACTATAACCAAAAGCATATGTATCTTAGAGCAGTGGTTCTCAACCTTCGTAATTCTGTGACTCTTTAATATAGTTCCTTCTTTAATATTGTTCCTTATGGTGTGATGACCCCAAACAATAAAATTATTTTCATTGCTACTTCATAACTGTAATTTTGCTACTGATATGAGTCATAATGAAATATCTGACCTGAAGGATATCTAGGTTGAGAACCACTGTCTTCGAGGGAGTTCTATAGCATCTTGCATAATTTTCTACCTTTGTACAGCCCCACTCATGCTGTAACTGAGATGAAATTTATTTTTAACTATTCTGTTGACTTTATGTGTGTACTAGGACAAGAGTATTTGGGGTTTCAACTTCGTTGAAAAAATTTCAAGGCATAAAATACACCTTTTTGGCTGAGCATTGGTGGTGCACCCCTTTAATCCCAGCACTCAGGAGGCAGAGGCAGGTGGATCTCTGTGAGTTCGAGACCAGCCTGCTCTACAGAGCTAGTTCCAAGACAGGCTCCAAAACCACAAAGAAACCCTGTCTCAAAAAACTAAAACCAATATGTATGTATGTATGTATGTATGTATGTATATATGTATATGTATGTATATATATATGTGTATGTATGTATGTACATATCCTTTTGTATTATTTTTATTTTAGCAGAATTTGTGGTCACTTAGAATTTGATTGAGGAAACATAGTTACTAGGAGCAACATAGGTCATGGGATTTGTTACAAGAGTAAGCCATGAAATTGTGAGATATGATGAAGGACTCTGAGGGGCTGCTGCCTTTGCTCCCGGTAATGGGCCTGAAATCACTTCACTTGTGACTTCTAAATATCATGCAGAAGTTATCATGGAACTATACAAGAAAGGAATCTGTAGAAATAGAACACTAAGAATATTATGCTGTTAAGCCAGCTGTCCCACTGCACTAGGAATCAACCAGATAGCCTCATGTAAACACTGTTTACCCCTAAATGTAAACAGAAAGTCCAACCTGGCCCCATGCACTACCTCACACAGTACGGTGACTACAACCTCATTCCACTTTGCAATTATTATTCAGGGCTCTCTTTGACAAATACTATCTCAGAACTATACAGAAAGGCTGTGGGTGTGACTCAGTAGTAGAACTGCTTGCTTAGCATGTGTGAGGCCCTGGATTCAAGTCAAAACACAGAAGAAAAAGTAAAAACCTTTACAGAAAATGGAATTCTTGGATAGTTTCAATTTAGTAAGTTGGTGCTGTTAAAGTCATTAAAGGTACTAATAATGAGTTTGCATATGGAAGGTGCTGCTAAAGTTCACCTTTTTATTACCACATTTTCTTTTTCCCAAGAGGGAAAGGTTCGTGTAAATAACCTGGACAGTGTCCTAAAAAAACTGGGAATCAAACTCAATGATGATGAATTTGCAAAGCTGATAGAAGACCTACCAGTGGATGGTAAGTGCTACAGATCCCCCCCCCAGGTATCTGCTTGTCTTTGTGTTATAACTAATATTTCTTAAAATAGGGGTAATCGGTGGCAGATACGTGTTAGAAAAATGAGAGAAGCCAATATTAAAGTAACAGTAAGACCCTGTTGTGCAAGCATGCACACACATTATAGTGATATGGAAAGCTGTGGAGAAGTCACCAGGTCCATTGTTCCACCCATTCCTCAGTCAGTGAAACCTGAGGCTCTGATGATGATGCAGGGTACTTTCTATCCTCTGATAGCATAGCTTGTCCTGTTTTCTTCTCCTTAGGCTATGTGATTCCACATCTTTACATTCCTTGATTTTTCTCTTTATTTAACTTCTCCTCAATATAAAATCTCTTCTGTCTTTTTGAATCTCTTCACCATCTTTACCAATACATCAAATAGTTCAGGCATCAGTTCCCATAGAAAGAAATCCTAGAACATATGGAACTAGGTTAGTGGCCCCTGCCTCAGATGCTTATTAATGCACAGAGTTAAATTACTGGAAGCCTAGTTCAAACCCAGTAGTAACTTCAGAAACCATATATATTTATTTATTTATTTATTTATTTATTTATTTAATATAACCAAGTCCATTTAAATGAAAACAAACATTTATAGACAATATTTGGGAATTTGGGCGTCGTTCTCTCCAAACTACTTCCTGCTGGTAAGGGGCGCTGTCATGGGGGATTCTAAGAAGATGCAGAAATCCTGGCTGTAGTCTGTAAGGCTGCTTTGTCCAGCTGTTTTGAGTGTTGGATCACCTGGTACTCTGTTTCAGGCAGTCTGGCTTGATCAAACCATATTAGTCTGGAAGGAATCCACAGCTTTTCATTTCTTAAGAAACCATTTTAATGGCTCCCAAGACACCATGGACAGTACACTTGTCCTGACCCAGTTTCATAGGTATAAGTGACCTTCCCGTTTAATGGAGATCACATTTATTCCTTGAGGTCCAGGATCTTAATAAATAAATGGAAAATTCAGATGGTGGAGATATTTATTGGATGTTTTTAACCACAAATATATCTTGTTTCTTTTTCTATGTTTATGTTATTAATTCCATTGTACCTTTCTTCATAGATAATGGGAAGGTTGATCTGAAAAAGGTGATGGATAAAGTTAAAGTTACTACCGGTGAGTGGGCAATTGTGAATCCAAAATGCTCAGTGTTTATAGTAACTATATTTTAGGATCCTTTCGTTCTCATGTGAGCTATGGCATTTGCCTCATTTCTTAAATGTTTAAAATCAAATCAGTGGCATATTGCTTGTTTTCCGGTGTGTTTTTTCATTTCAGTATATTTTTCCATTTTTATATTAGAGTAGCCAGTTAGTTAGATAATAGTAAGATAATAGCTGCCACAAACCTTTGGTAAAAAGCTCAGATAATTTATAGCTCCTAACAATGGGACTGGCAGGTGTCACTTTGGTGTATGCCACTACCATGCGTTATAGTTGAAGAAAGGGATGCATGGTGTGGCTATCTGTTGTTAGTTGTCTTTTACTCTTTGGCTCTTTGTGGGGCCTACCACCCAGCTCCCAATAACTCACATAGAGACTTATTATTTCTTATGAATGTCCAACCTTAGTTTAGCTTGTGGCTAGCCAGTTTTTTTTTTTTTTTTTTTTTTTTTTTTTTTTTTAATTATCCCATCTATCTTTTGCCTCTGGGTTTTTTTCCTTTTCTTACTTCTACATATCTTATTTTTACTCTTACTCCATGGCTGGCTGGGTAGCTGAGTGGCACAGTGGTTGGTGCCTAGCATCCACCTCTCCTTGTTCTTGCTCCTTCTTTATCCTCCCAGATTTCTCCTCCCATTTGTTCTCCATGCCTGCCAGCCCCACCCATTCTTTCCTAACAAGCTATTGGCTGTTCAACTCTTCAATAGACCAATCAGGTGTGTTAGACAGGCAAAGGAACACAGCTTCACAGAGTTAAACAAATGCAATGTAAAAGAATTCAACACATATTTGCATTGTTAAAGAAATGCTCCACAGCATAAACAAATGTAACACATCTTAATATTCCAAAACAGATAGCTCTGCATTTAGAGTTGCCTTGACACATTAAAAAAAAAAAAGTGTATGTCTGCACATCTGAATGTGGGTGTGTGTCCCTGAGCTCAGGTACCCAAGGAAGTTAGGTATCAGATACCCCTGGAGCTGAGTTGCAGGTGGTTGTAGGCTGAGAATAAAACTCTGGGCCTCTGAAAAAACTGTGAAACTGCTAAGTCATCTTTCCAGTTCCATGTGCCTTCTTTTATTAGCACTTAGGGACTAAATTTCTTTGATCTCATACAATCTAGTCATAGATTTTTTCCCCACTTAAAATTATTAGATAAAACTTTATTTTCATATATGTAATGATGAATATTGATTTGTAGGAGGAGAAGTGGATAGCAAAAATGTGAAATCTGTTCTATCAAAAATGGGCATAGAACTTTCAAACTATGAATTCTCAAAGTTGATGGAAAATCTGCCTTTTGATGGTAAGTGTTTCAAATACCGATGTGACTTTAAAATATTTTTGGCTTTTTTAATACTTAAAATTTTTTAACATCTA